CATTGTTTTTTGGTGAACCCAGGTGCTCGGCGTCAATTGAACACACGCCGAGGGTGGGCACCTCGGCGTTTAGTCAATTGACGCTGACCCCTGGTGCATACTGGAATCCTTTGCCTCGAAGCGACGAGGTGCCTAAGCTCGGCGTTCCATAAATTGATGCCGAGCCGTTAATCTCGGCATGAAAATATTAAACGCCAAGGTAGGCGTGTGGGTTGACCCAACGACGCCCGTGGCCCAAACGTCAGCGTGGCTCGACTCGGCGCCTAGCTGTCCGATCTCGGCGTGGGCCGACTCAGCGCCGAGGTTTGGCCCAAACCTGGCGTGGGCCGTGGTGATCCAAACCCTAGGGTTGGCGTGGGCCGACTCGACACCGAGCCTCAGCCCAACACTTCACGTAAACGGCCGAGCTAAACCCTAGGGTTGGTGTGGGCCAAATCAACACCATGGTCTTCTATCTCGGCGTCGTCCGACTTGACGCCGAGCCTATAAATCATAAAAAAGAAAGAATAAAGTATCAAAGACAGAGGTCTTCTAAACCTTTGGTATAGGTTGAAATCCTATTTGCATGATTCAAATGAAAAATCTTTCTCAACGATTCCTCTTCTACTAACACGAGTTATACTAATAAGAGTAGACATGCTATATTTATGTTTGTTCCTACAGGAAAAACCAAAGGTTGGTTCGATTTCAATCCCCTATTTTTAGAGAGTCAAATCTTTTTTCAGTTTGGGAATCAACCATAGTACATGAAACTTAGAGATAGGTAAACTGCAATTTATGAAATAGCGAATGCACAACGATTACACTCACATCAAAACTAACAATGGCATGTCGCAAACTAAACCTAGCATGCCTTAGGGGATTAAAAGAAACAAGTGATACAGACGTTGCAAAGGTACTACGATTACACACTCACATGAAAACTAACAATGGCATGTTGCAAACTAAACCTAGCATGCCTTAGGAGATTGAAAAGAACAACTCATACAAGCATTCCACATTCGGATTGACTAACAAAGGTTGATCCTAATAATGCTCCCACATATTGAACTGAGTTGTGCCTTCCCCATAGTATCCTCCAGTTGACGGCGACGGTGGCGGTGGCGGTGGAGAAGGAGGCCCGTGCTTTTATGGTGCGGGTAATCTGGCAAGATGGATTATTGCATAGTGCCTCCTCTCGCATCATTGTTGTTGTCGTCGTCCGACTTGTCCTCATTACCACTTCTGTGGCCATACTCTAGGTCAAAGATGCATCCTCAGAGATATGTGATGTAATCGTTGATGGGGATAGATAGGAGGAGGGTCGACCCATCTAGTGAAGCCACAATTATCTGGACAGCTTGAATCCTGAAAACCCATCTACCAATAAGTACTACTACAAACCAAATGCAAATCTAAAAAAGAGAGAGTTCAAAGGAAATACAAATCCTCACGGGCATCTGAACAAACAACGGCCTCCACCGTCACAGTCGTTGTACATCTGCACAACGCAATCCAAACCATGGTGGCATTTTGGCCAATCTTCAATGCGCTTGTCATATGATCTGAGAGGTCTCTCACGGGTGAAGTCACTCTTTCTCTCCAAAGGAAATTTCTCTATTGGTTCTTCAAAAGAATCAGGAACCAGAGAACCCTCCCGCACAATCGGAGGTCCCTTCCTCACCCCCTTTCCTCTCCCTCCGCCGAAACCCTTTCCACTCGAGGAACCTCCGCTCGACATTTGATAAAACTAAACTAGAAAACAAGTTGTGTGGATGTGGAGCAAGACATTGAGCACTATATATAGAGATGAAGGCATGTTCACCATGAATGCTACTTGACAAAAAACTTGTGTGTGTACTCATTTATTGAATCTACAAAGGCTAGATGCTTCATTTGAAAAGCCTACAACCATGACTGGTCATTTTATCTGAAAAGGCTACACCTATGTTTTGTCACTTCATCTAAATGCAGTACATCACTCTGATATTAATTCATTGCGATACGGATACAACAAAGAAACGAATCTAGGCTTTTCGGTGAGTTTTTAAATAGACTTTTCATTGATCGCAATAAAGATTTGTAGCCCTTTTCGGTGATCGCAACAACACAAGTAGCCTTTTCAAAGTGATACAAACAAAGAGCACTACAGGTCCTAGGATAGTTAACGAAAGCATGGGCATAAGACCATCTGAAATAAAAGCATAGTGCATTATAACATAATAAAAAAAGCCCAGGGAATAAGTCCATCTGAAATAAAAGCAGAGTGCATTACAACATAGTAAAAAAAAGTCCAGGGCTACACGACATCGCTCATGAATAAACCAAATACCTACTGAGTGCAACGAGGCCACTTTCTCTTCCTCTGGGCATCAGGATTCTCCTCCATCGCTGCCTTCGCTCGGCGCACACGCTCAAGCTTCTTCTCCCTCTCCGTCCTGTACGCAGCAACACGCCTCCTTTCCTCCTCTTCCTTATGCTCCTTTTCTATAGCCTCCTGTCTGCGTCTCTGCTTAAACCTCTCCTTAACCTCCGCATCCCACTCCTTCAGGCCCTCTAGATGTTGCTTGTCCAACTCCTTGATCTCAGTGTCAATCCACTGCTCAAAGTCACACAGTGGTGGAACGGTCTGCAAGAAAAACAAATTGTTACAAAACAAATAAATAAGCAATACTTAATATCACAAGAAAATTAATTAACACACAATAAAAATTCCTCACAATCGATGCACGGCGCTGTTGCTTTGTAGGTTCCCATGCATAATTGGGACACATCCAGTACCTCTGTCTATATGTTTCCTCATCTTCAGAGATGTCTACCTTGCAAGGATCACCACAAAAGCACATGGGTTGAGGAACACCTTCAGGAAGAGGTTTTAGGTCGTAGGGATTTGCCCTCTAGCGACCATAGCTACAATTGAAAGAATTTAGTCATATTAACGGAGAACCAAACCTAAACCTAGGGTTTTCTATTTGTTGCACAAATAATGAATAAACATTGGGATTACCTTGGAATACGAGCTTTACCACGCCTTGGCATCCTAACATTACGTAGAAAAAAAATCAATCTAAAGTACCTTGCAATGAATGTAAAGCTACTAACACTAAATCACCATACCTTCCAAATAAGCTTTTTATTACAAACCCTAAGCAAATTTGAATCCCAACAAACACAAAATTTAACTCAATGATTATAAACCAGAACATATACAACAACAACCATACATTTGGGTCATTCAATCATTTAAACCACCATACATTGCACGAATGACATGAACATGAACCAAACCTATAATGCCAAGTTTAAAAAAAAAACACAAACAACCGAATCTAAATGAATGAAATGAAAGAGGGGAAAGAGGAGTACCTTGGCAAAACGTCAAAACCCTCGATCTGGCCTTCCAAGAGCTGGATTTAGGATTTAGGGTTCGTGAGAAGAGAGAGAGAGTGGGAAATGGCCACCTGTTGGTTCTGAATGGAGGGAGGAGGAAGAAGGGGGCCGCGACGCAGCCTCAACTGACCGAACCTCGGCGTTGAGTGATGAGGACATCGCCAAGATGGAGTCGAGGACGACTCCAATTCGAGAAGGGGAGGATGATGAGGACATCGCCACGCTGGACACACCGACGCCATGGTCTTCCCCAAGTTGCAATTGTTCCCAACCAACTCACCGCCACGTCACCCTCGGATTCAGCAGACACGTCGTCCACTGTTTCGGTCATAACTTCCTCATACGACGTCGAAACGGGCCGTTGGATGCGTTGGAAAGGGGACGACGACGCCGTCGTTTTGGATCTGGTCCCAGCTCCAGAAGGTCCGTGGATCATTCTGTGTGACCACGGCAAGGTGTGCGTCACCTATTTGGGCCAACTTGGCCATGTATCGTGTCGGGCCTTAAGCCCAAGTTGTGGGCGTAAACCCCTGGCCGTCCCCAACCCTAGGTCGAGTTTTAGACTATAAACACAGCCGTCCGCTGCTACACAATTGGGTTTTGTTTAGAGTTTAGTTTTCCATCGAGAAACCGAATCGTTCATTGTAGCGTGGTGACAAATCCTTTACAAATGATCCGTGGCCCCGTTCTCGATCTCCTCCATCGTGGTCGATTAGTCCTTTGGAACCGAAGTTCTTGAACCTTCTATTGATATTCGCGTCATTCATATTTGCAATATCGGATTGCGTGTTTTACCTTCTTGCTTGTGCTCTTCGATTCGCTGCGTGAAAAGCCTTCTTGGCAGGTCAATCAAGTTGTGCTTGGTTGAACCAAAGCGAGCAAAGGTGTAACGGTTGCAGGTTCGAATCGCGTCTGATTTGAAGCCGGATCGCCAACGTCGAGATCTCCACATATCGAACTTACCGGCTACCTCTCGGAAGATCGGGCCTGTACTCATCATTGAGTCAGGCCGCGCCGAGGTTAGCGTCTCGGCGTCATCTGATCGCACGCCGACCTCTTGGCCCACGAAGCGTTGTTGTGCTGCCTGGGCCGCGCGCCGGATGGTGCCAAGAGCTCGGCGTGACTCCCCACCGCGCCGAAGTTAGGCCTGTGGCATTGGCTGACACGACGCCGACGTACTGGGCCCCATGCGCCAGCCCCGGAGTCGTTGGTGACGTGGCAAGGACTCGGCGTCGTGTCAGTCGACGCCGACCTTCATACCTCGGCGTGATTTCCTAAGACGCTTAAAAATGGTCTATTTGTAGCAAAAGTTTTGGCAGAGGTCTTTTTGTAAAAAATATTTTAAAAAAGGACCAAAATGCAAAAATTTCACACAAGCCGTGGCAGCGTCTATTTGTAGCCGACAGAGTGCAACACACAGGCAGTTGCATGAAACCAACGTGACGTCTATAATTTGTAGGGCCATCGCTATTTCTGCCTGGCCCACCTGTCAGCCAGCGCCATCCCTCTTCCTTATAAGGAAGGAAAGGATCGAGGACGCGACGCTAGCTGCAGGAAGCTAGAAGAGAGAGCCGCAGGTTAGCCGGCGACGAGGAGGAACGAATCAGAGGCGCCCAGGAGACCCGGCCGCGATGGCTCCGCGCAGCTCGGCGGCGACGTGCCTGTGGCTCGCTCTCGCCGCGGCCACCCTGGCGCTGGCCCAGGTGCTCGATCGATCATTCGCTGAAAGTCTCCGGCTAGCAGCTCCTCTGATGCATGCCATGCCATTGTCGCTGTTCAGGCACAGGGAGGATCAGCGGCGGACCTGGAGAAGGTTACGGCCAAGACCTTCTTCGATATCCAGATCGACGGCAAGCCTGCAGGTTTCTCCGTGCATGCATGGTTACCATTTCATGCACCTGAACATGCTATCAGAAATTCAGAATTTTCGGGGCTGAGATTTGCCGGCTTGATTATCTTGAGATGATATATTGCTCTCCCTCTCCCTGCATGTTGCATGGTCATACTGAATTACTGATGCTCGATGCCGCTCCTAATCACAACTTAATTTCACATGCACACAGGCCGGATCGTGCTAGGACTGTTTGGGGACACTGTTCCTAAAACAGCAGGTACTATATGCATATATATCATCTCAATTTGCTAATAATACTAGTTCACAGATGAACAAATGTTGTGTTACTGTTTTTCTTGTGAGTTGTTGGTAGGATCGCTAACTACTGTCCATGTGTACCTTTCCGTTTTCTTACAGAGAATTTCCGAGCACTTTGCACAGGGGAGAAAGGAATGGCCAAGTCCGGCAAGCCTCTGTGGTACAAGGGATCGACATTCCACAGGATCATCCCAGGATTCATGATCCAAGGAGGCGATTTCACAAACGGCAACGGGACGGGGACTGAATCCATCTATGGCAGCACGATCTTCCCTGACGAGAACTTCAAGCTCAACCACATTGAAGCCGGTACTTACATTCTGACTACCAAAACGCTGAGCTGAAACCTCTGATGAACAAGAACTGAACTGTGTGGGATCTGATCGGACTGCAGGCACGCTGTCCATGGCCAACTACGGGCCAGACTCCAACGGCTCCCAGTTCTTCATCACCACTGTAGAAGAAAACAAGTAATAATCAATCCCTTACCCCCTACAGATCTCTTTCTCAAAAAAAAAAAATCAATCCCTTGAATGTTCTTGAGCACAGCTGTGATGAGTTTACATGCATTTCGGTTTGACTTTTGAGATTGTTTATTGTCGCTGATATATGGTACCTGCTACTTGGTTAATTTTGTGCGTGCAAATTGAAGGTTGCCGAAGAAGCTGGACGGGAAACATGTTGTGTTTGGCAAGGTGGTGGAAGGGATGGACGTCGTCCGCAAGATCGAAGCTGAAGGCCAAACGACCGGCGTGCCCAAGGCCAAGGTCGTCATAGTCAACAGCGGGCAGCTCACCTGATGCTGCCCATCATGATCTCTGATCTGATGATGAACTCATGATCCATCCATCTTGTTAAGAAACCAAACATGGTTGTGTTTTTCAGTGTGCCGTCCCATGTTGTTGTTACGGTGCGGAGGCTAGACGCCGTTGTATCGCAGCTCTCACTTCTCTCTTAACGAAACACATGCAAAAAAAAAAAAAAAAATTGTTGTTGTCACAGTGGCACTTCATTTGTTTGGTTGGAGTTCTTATACACTACTCTTACTGTTTCCAAATTGTAAGTCGTTTTGACTAAGCTTTAGTAAAGCTTATGAATCTAAAAAAAACCGAACAACTTTGCTTATCTAATTTCACTGAAAAATTTATATGATGAAGACTAGCAAAGGCCACTTGCTTTGCTTGTATAGATTATGTTAACATGTACATGCACCGAGAGCCGTTTGAAATACATGATTTTTATAGAAATCGTATATAAATTTCACAAGCAGTTTAATAACCACTCAAGTGAGTGCCCACTGCCTCTGCCTCTGCCGTCCGGGGCGGAGCAAACAGAGCCGTCACACTGACATGTAGGACCCAGGGATCGCGCCTGCCCCACATGTCAGCCAGCAAGGGGCTTCCTCTGCTGCTCTCCTTATTTGGTGGTTTCTCTCGTGGACGAGGGGAAGACTGCAGAAGTGCGGCAAAACGATCAGATCTAGCAGAATTCTCTCGACCTCATCGGCGGCGGCGGAGGAGCGTGCGGATCGGAGATGGCGCCGAGCGGGTGGAGGAGGAGAGCAGCGGCGCGGGCCGCCTGGCGCCCCGCCACGGTGTGCCTGTGGCTCGCGCTCGCCGCCGCCGCCCTGACGCTCGCCCAGGTGCTCGTCAACCTCGTCCGTCCCTTGCCCACAAGCCCATGATTTGCTCCTCCAACCTCTCTCCCTGTTTTTTTTTCCCGATCTGATTAGAGACTGCGCAGGATTGCTCGTCGATATGACTATTACTGACGCTTGCGCTAGTTTCTGAATGACTGAATCTGTTGGATCGGGATCCAAGCAGCTAACCGTTGTGTTTGGCTGCTGATTTGTTAGGCTAAGAAGGACCTGACGGAGGTTACCCACAAGGTCTACTTCGACATCGAGATCGACGGCAAGCCCGCAGGTTTGTGGCGGCACCCTCTCACTTTCTGCAATGTCAGATACTCAGATCAGCACGCTACGTCGTACCAAAGTGGAGCAATAGGACGACTTCAGATGTCTACCTATTTGATTCCACTAGTTTATGTTGCACTCTACTCACATTAGATTGGTGTCTCTGCTCAACCACCAGTGTTTAAAGCCTTACAGTATAAAGTCATTTGTTTCTGTTGCATGCAGCATGCCATGTGAGGTGATTGCTGCTGCTAGGTTTATCTGATTTTATATTGGGTATATGACTATGCTTTGTTTTCTTTGGTCTTATAAGTTATTTGTATGAAGGAGAAATGTCAACATGGTGTTTGTGTATGAATGTCGTTCCTCCACTTACTAACTGATTGACTCATCGGTGCTTACTTGCTTCTGAACTGTCATAGGTCGGATTGTCATGGGGCTTTTTGGGAAAACTGTTCCTAAGACAGCAGGTATTATCAAGTTATTATTAACAATTCGATACTATTTTCACATGGGATAAGAGAAAACTAATGGACCTTCTTGTTTTCCTACAGAGAACTTCCGAGCTCTTTGCACAGGTATGTTATATGTTAAGAATGTTATTATTACCCTTGTTATAGTTTCCTAATGATTAAAGTCGTGGTAGTTGGCAGTCTTAATTGAAATTGTTTTGTCATGCACCATAGTATAGTTTGGTCACATCCAATAAAAAATGGGCAGCTTCTCCAAACAAAAAAAACTAACAGATGTGCACATTCTTAATCTTATTTTGTGGGAAAAGTAAAAATGAACATCATCAATTATAATAGTGTTATTGCATTCATCATATATAAGTACAATGTTATTTTAGCCTGCCATATAATGGAAGAGGTCCCATTCCGAATAGTGAATAGTTTTACATCTGTGAAATATCTTTCTAAGTGATGTCTTATTAAATAGGCTCAAGTCACTTGTTTGGTTTTGGCTTCATGTGGCTCTCAACTTTCTTGTTATACAGGAGAGAAAGGAGTTGGCAAGAGTGGCAAAGCCCTCCACTACAAGGGAAGTACATTCCACAGAATTATTCCCAGCTTCATGCTCCAAGGAGGTGACTTCACTCTTGGGGATGGGAGGGGTGGTGAATCTATCTATGGCTTGAAGTTTGCTGATGAGAACTTCAAGATCAAGCACACTGGACCAGGTGATCAATTATGCCTTAGAATTTTTTAGGTGGCCCTGAAAAGGGATCATATCTGTTACATAGAAATAATTTATTTGAGTGGTTTGTTACTTGTTAGGATTTTTTACTACTAGGTTTGTTAAACTCTTAACATGTTGTTGGTGACTAATTCTTGCGTCAGGCCTTCTGTCCATGGCCAATGCTGGGACAAATACAAATGGATCTCAGTTTTTCATCACCACTGTGACAACAAGCTGGTAAGTATTCACAGGTCTTTGTAACAGTGACCTTATTTTCCTCCAATCTTGACTGAAGGTTTTTCTTAATCTGTTGAAGATTTATGCTGATTACCTCCTGCTTTTATTTTGTGTGTGTTAGGTTGGACGGGAAGCATGTTGTGTTTGGCAAGGTGTTGTCTGGAATGGATGTTGTGTACAAGGTCGAAGCTGAAGGCCGGCAGAGTGGGCAACCAAAGAGCAAGGTTGTCATAGCAGATAGCGGCGAGCTGCCGATGTGATGAGCTGAACTGATGTTCCATCTTGAAGCATAATAAGAAGTTGCTAGTGGTCGTTTGTCGTTCTAGAACTGTTATTAGTGTTCTGTTTACTACAGTGACTTTCTTGTGTACTTAGTTGGAAAGTTTTAAAAGGTTGAACTAATGGCTCTCACACTTCTGCATCATTTTCAGTTTCATCTGCCAGAATAGTCTTGTGCTTGTTTATTTACTACGCCATCTTAGAAGTAAAATGTTCTATTAAATATTGAATTGAATAAGGTTGGTTGAAATGCGTCTGGTGGAGGCTCCATGGAATCAAGAACGAGCATACATCTGCAAGTGTTGATAGTACATGAGCAATACTTTGCTATCTTTGGTGTTAACAATGATGTATGTATTGTATGAACAAACCTCGAACGTATGAGGGTGCACCACACACTTCATCTCGAATGCCATTTTAAAAAAGCACACAATTTTTAATCACACAGTTTTTCAAAGGTGTTCGTAAGATATCAGACCTTGAACATTGCAGCGACCAGACCTTCGACTTTAAGCGTAGACGTGTTTGCTAGGGTCCGATTCTTGTTTTTATTTTTTATCTGAATTTTTTAACTATATTTTAATCAGAATTATTTGGTGGAACCTAAAGATCAGGTCGCTAATTCAGATCAAATGAATTGGAATATAGCAAATCAACTAAAATGTCATTTCTCTCTTCTAGTTCACAAAACTGAAGAACTAGAATAAAGTGAAACACCTGAAATGTCATTTCTCTTTTCTAGTTTTGTGAACAAGCTTGTGGATCGGTGGTTGGCTCACCCTACTGTGAACCAACTGATCGGGAGTTTGTAACACCTCTGGTGTTTGGACCTAGAACTAAAATTTGGCATGTCATCATATGCATTGCAAAGCATTCATAAAGAAGAAAATTTGGAATGCATTCAATAAGATTTGTTTCATAAGTTGTTATTTTATGTGATGCAATGTGATTCAAAACGTTAAACAAAGATCATGACCACAAGGGTCAGATTTCATGTGATCATGTGAGACCATGTGTCATTTGACTCAAACAACCCTAATGGGCCATGTTACTGGTCAAAAATCAAAGTTAAAGCAAAAGAAAGACAAATCAAATTTGAATTCAAATTTAAATTATAAAAGTCCGTTTTGCCCCTTTTGGATATTTCAAAATCCATTTGGAATTTGGGGTTGTGACAAAAAGCAAAGTTGGACTTATTTTATAAGGATCAACTTTGTATTCAAAGTTTTTCAAGTTTACATATAAAATTTGAGTAATTTTGAAATGATTCAAATGCTCTAATCAACAAATTCAAATTTCAAAATGGAGGCAGAATTTGAAAATGTTTCTAGAAGCAAAGTTGTAGAGTTTGAAAAATTGAACAACTTTCATTTTGGAGATTTTCAACTTCTTTAAAACAATTGTTTGAAAAATGGACGTAGTGGCGATTACGTAAATTTTCAAAAATCAACCTCCACCTCTCTCGCTTTGTCATGGTTGAGATCTTCTATCTTACAAAACAATACTCTGGCGAGAGGTCGTCAACACCCACGCCTCCAGCTGGTAAATAGGAACCGAAGCTCGATTCAGAGAAGTGTTTTCGCATAATTGTCAGAGTGTTAGGGCCAATTGCTTTGGAAACCGTCTTTTCTCATCCCAAGCCGATCGTGTTCACGGAAGTCCAAAAACAGACGGAACTCGCCATCCTCGGCCTCAGCCAAACATCCGTCTTCACCGAGCCTATGACGTGATCACGGTGAGAGAATGTGAAAAAATCGCTTTAGGCAATCGAGGTAGCTATAGCCGTTCTCGATCCACACGACAGGCACCTTTTTTTTTTTGTCAGATTGGTTCTGGGGAGGTAGTAGATCATTTTGTGAGGTATGTTTATCAAACACCTAAAACGGTCTGAGGGCAGCGCCGTCGTGACAGGGTTGAGTCGGGTGGTTCCAAGGCGAGTGAGGAAGAAGATGATTTTATTTTTGAATTTGTGAATATCAAACTTTGGGAATTTGTAGGAAATTCATGATATCCCAAAAATTCTGAAATTTTGTGTGTAGCTTTGAACATGCTCTAGTATGGTTTAAAAATTTGAAACTTAAAATTTGAATAAATTTTAATGTTCAAAATTCAGTCCATTAATTAATAAATGTAATTTCCATGATTTTTGTAATAGCTCCAAAAATTATGAAATTTATACACTAATTTGATATGAGGAAGCTTACATAAAATTTTGAGGTCATTTGGAACAAGTTTATTTTTGGGCTTATTTTAAATTAATTAAAATTTAATAAGAGCAACCCTAATTGTTAGGGTTAGGGAGTTTGGGTCAGGTTGTGTGACCAGTAGGGTTTCAAGATCCATTTGGTCAAGTCCATGTATGTATGGTTTTTTTGATGGTAGGATTGCAAGTTGGTTTTGTTGGCTTCCACATCTAGTGAAATAAAATTAAAGTGTTGGTACATTTCATGTTTGTGAAAGCATCATGTTTACATTATTATCATGTTAAAGCATATGCTATCATTTCGTGTAGAACCCGAGAGTGAAACGATTCTAGTTGAACAAGTTTGGAAGAAACGGGATTTGGTAACCGAACCCGAATCGCCAACGAAGGCAAGCCCGGTTTATGCATTACACCATTACCTTGTTTTTTGAAAAGTTTATCACTTATGTTACTTATCGCATTAAGTTGTTTATTCAAATGTTACCTACTTGATGCATTGCCTACCTTGTTAATTGTTTACCATCCTTGAAGATGATTTCGTTTATAAAGAATTCTTAGTATGCTTTATGGTAGGCTTTTCAAAGTAAAAGTTTCGATATAATCAAAGATGGCATACTGGCCAAAGAAAAAAGAAGGAAGGTAGAATGAACTAGAGACTAGTTGGGTGGCTTATCTGAATGTTGGGTAATGCCGACTATTCGCAAAGCCACTCATTGTGGGAAGACACTTTGTAGTCCTAGTCACATACTGCAAGAAGGATCCGATATAAGACACACGGAGTGGTGGTGAGATGGCGGAAGGTACCCTCGTGGCTTGAATGTGGCGGATTTGAGGTCTCGGGTGGCGTGGAGACGGCTTACGGGAGGATCCAGCGAGGTTGATATATGCAAGATTAAGTTCTACATATGTCATGTGATAAGGAAATGGGACTTGAATCAATTCAAATTGCCGGTGCTCCGCGGACATGGAGACTCGATTCATTACAGAAGCAATGTAGGACTGGTAAATTACTAAAACATGAGAAAAAAATAGAATGAGAAGGATTGGAACATGGGATATGAATACTTAGTTGGAGATATTGAACTAAAATACTTAGTGGTAAAACTTGAAACTAGGATCAAGAATAGTAAGCTTTTGGCAAAGAATTTTTGAATCTTTCTACATCCTTACCTTGACCCAACACCAAAGATCCCTAAGACCTTTCGCCCTTTTGGTCGGGTCATCTTGTTGAGTACTTTTATACTCGGGTTTATTAACCCTTGTTGCAGGGGGAGACGCATGCGCAGAGCTTGTTTTGGTCCCCGCCATTGCATGTCATGTATGAAGTAGTGCTTTTTGATTTTTTTTGTCGATGACGATGAGGAATGTATGAATCGATGCGATGAGGAATGATGAATGGCCTTTGGACAAGGCACTAGTTTGTGTGAAATAAATAATGTTAATGTAATATTATCTCGCTACTATGGTTGTATGACACTTATGGTTATGTAAGTTTGAAACAACCGGTTTGTAATATTAAACTTAAGTCTTCCGCTTTATTACCTCTCGTATGTATGTATATTGAAAAATGTTGTAATCAGAATGACCGTGATTGGAATCTCGCTTTGAACGTGGATGATTCGGGTTTTCCGAGGACACCCGACAGACCTGTTAAGTTGTTGGGAACTTGTGTACGCTATCTGAGGTCTGTTGAGACATCGATAGGTGCACGTGGGCCCGATTTCTTATGAGGTTCTGCCACAGAGTTCAACTCCTTGCGTGTCTCACATACGTGAAATTGTGTGTTGTAAATAAACTCTCTCATCGACAATGTCATGGCTGGTCGGGAGTTTTTTTTTTAGAAAACCTGGTCAGGAGCTCGACTCCCTGCGTGTCTCACATACTTAAAATTGTGTGTTGTAAATAAACTCTCTCATCAACAATGTCATGATTTAGGGGGTTTTGTCGGCTAGTGTGGTTGAGATCTTCTATCTTCAAAACAATTGTTTTTATCGGCTAGCGTGGTTGAGATCTTCTATCTTAAAAACAATACTCTGGGAGAGGTAATACCTCAGCTGGTCCAAACCGAAGCTGAAGTGTTTTTGTCTATTTCTTGTGGAAACGTTTTTCAATTGCCATGCCGATTCTATCCAAAAACAGAAATGGTTCTCTCAGCCAAACATGTCTTAACATGACTACATGAGAGAAGAAAAATCAGGCAATCGAGGTAGCTATAGCCGCACACGACATGACTTTTTTTTGTCAGACCACCTCTTTATCGTGTGCACTATCAAACACCTAAAACTCTGTCTTCTGGTTCCAAAGGATGAAACTTTTTGTTTGAATCTAATGAAGATATATCCACTCATGTTGTGTTTGGAATGGATTCTATCGATTTTATCCGTTAATAGCATTGATCCTCTCAATCCAATTGCGCACTAACATGAGAGTGCAGAAAAATATCACACGCACGAGTTAGAAGTGGTCCACACACAAAATAAAGTATTTTGTCCGAACGCTTCTTTACCTCGCACTAAACAAACACCGAAAACCTAAATTGCCATTTTTTAATATATAATTCAAAAACGCTAGAAGTTTTTGCCTGATTCCTATAGAATCGTTTTGTGTTGCGTTCGACATAAATTCTATCTAAAAATGGAAGTGATTCTGTCATCCAAATGTTCCAGAGACACGGAAGATGTCATGCTTGCAAGGGATATATGACACACGTGAATGAAGGCGTGCGAGGCATATACGACACACGAAATGAAATACTTTGTCTAAATGCCTCTATCTCGT